GCACCGCAGCTGACGCAAAGGCTGGACCGGAACTCCTCAAATAACACCGTAGGCAAGGCCTTGGTCATGATATCGGCAAATTGTTGAGAAGTAGGAACGTGTAAAACATGAATATGGCCAAGGGCCACCTATTCCCGAACAAAATGAATATCCAACTCAATATGCTTGGTCCGTCGATGATGCACCGGGTTAGCGGAGAGGTAGACCGCCGAGAGTTGTCGCAGTAGAGCACCGTGGCATGGTCAACGAGGCAAGAGAGCTCCTGAAGCAGCTGGCGAAGCCACAAACACTCGGCGACAGCGTTGGCTACCGCACAATACTCAGCCTCAACACTGGAACAAGAGATCGTAGGCTGTCGCTTGGATGACCACGAAATGAGTGAGGGTCCAAGATAAACACAATAGCCCGAAGTGGAGCGACGAGTGTCAGGGCAGCCCACACAGTCTGCATCGGAGTAGGCGGTGAGGGCAGTGTCGACGGAGGCGTGAAGCGTGACGCCAAGATCCATAGTGCCACAGATATAACGGAGAATCCGCTTGACGGCAGCCCAGTGAACGTCTCGAGGAGCATGCATATGAAGACACACCTACTGCACGGCATACTGGATCTCTGGTCGAGTCAGAGTGAGGTACTGGAGAGCACCAATGATAGACCGATAGAAAGCAGCATCCGAAGCAGGAGAACCATCCGTGGTAGAAAGCTTGGCCTTCATATCAACAGGCGTAGCGGCGGGCTTGCAGTTAAGCATGCCGGCGCGCTCGAGGAGCTCGTGAGAGTACTTCCGCTAATGAAGGAAGAAGCCATCCGGACGGCGCACCACCTCGACACCAAGGAAGTAGTGCAAAGGACCCAAGTCCTTGATGGCGAACTCGGTGCGAAGATGAGCCGTGAGCTGACTGAGGAGACCAGCCGTACATGCTGTCAGGATGATGTCGTCGACATAGAGCAGCAAGTAGGCCGTGTCAGAGCCCTGATGATAGACGAAGAGCGAGGCATCCGAGCGGGTAGAGCGGAACCCAAGCTGGTGGAGAAACGCCACGATGCGCTGGTACCAAGCGCGCTGAGCCTGCTTGAGTCCGTACAAGGATTGCGAAAGCAGGCACACGTGGTCGGGAAGTGTCGGGTCAACAAACCTGGTGGGCTGCTGGCAGAAGACCAACTCCTCGAGGTGACCATGGAGGAAGGCATGGAGACATCCAATATGGTGCACCGGCCAAGCACGGGAGACCGCAAGGTGGAGAACCGTGCGTATCTTGCCGGGCTTGACGACCGGAGCGAAGGTGTCGGTGAAGTTGATGCCTGCATGCTGTCGGGAGCCATGAACAACCCAGCGTGCTTTGTAGCGGTCAAGGGTACTATCAGGATGGAGCTTGTGTTTAAAGACCCACTTCCCGGTAATCATGTTGGCGTGCCGGGGACGGGGAACAAGCTGCCATGTCCGGTTGCGCAACAGAGCATCAAACTCCTCTTGCATCGCAGCCATCCAGAGCGGGTCATGAAGAGCGGCTCGAACGGAGGACGGCAACGGTGACGGCTCAGAGGTGGACGCCGCAAGGACGTAGTCATCCAAGGCGTAGCGCGAGCTCGGACGAAAAACGCCTGTACGGGCGCGGGTGACCGGACTAGCCACAGGCGCCGGGGGCCCCGCGAGCGCCAAGAGGGCCGGGGGCGCCGGGGGACCACGAGCAACGGGGGTGCCGGGGGCGCCACGGAGGCCACGGGGGCCGCGGGCGCCGGAAGAGCCGCAGGGGCCGCAAGCGCCAACGTCAGGGGTGCCGGGGGTGCCAGCGCCGCGGCTGTAGGAGGTGCCGCATGCAGGGGGCGCGCCTCAAAGCCAGGGGCGGGCCAAGAGAGGCGCGCGAGCGCCCTGGAAGAGGCGTCGAGGGGCCTGCGTCACCAGTGGCGGGAGGAACAGCCGGGGGTACCTGGTGAAACGGAAACATATGCTCATCAAAGTAAACGTGCCGGGAAGTGAACACACGATGGGAGACAGGATCGTAGCACCGATATCCCTTGGAGTTGGAGGGATAGCCGATGAAGATGCAAGCGATAGATCAAGGTTCAAGCTTCTGAGAAGCAGTGTCAGCAGTGCTGGGATAGCAAAGGCACCCAAAAATACGCAAGTCGTCATAAGACGGGGCGTACCAAAGAGAAGATGGTGAGGTGCGTAGTTCCACAGTGGGCGGCAGGGTCTAATGTTAAGAAGAAGTGATGCTGCAGCGAGTGCGTCCGGCCAGAAACGAGGCGGCACGTTGGCATGAAGTAGGGGCGTGCGAACGCAGTCATTCAGAGTGCGAAGGACGCGTT